GGAAGTCGAAGCTACTTTGCTTTCTGATGAGCGCGATGACGCGGATCCTGGATTTGAAGTGTGCGAAGCCTCGTTGGAAGACTGGGAGAGATATGTCAAAACGGAGAATCAAGCACTGGTGTCCAGAGCGATGGCATTTGAAGGTGGTAGAATCTACATCGTCGAACTCCCATCTGGCGTCCATGATGGCTTTTGTGAATTGTTCAAGGTGGAAATGGTGTTTGCGACTGGTACCCGTGATCATCATTTGGTGTCGCGTGGATCGAGCTACGTTGAGAGACTTCGAAAGCTCGAGCCCGATTGCAGTTTTGGTCCTGCTCCTGGTATTGGTGCCATTCGTCCTGGTGGTATGACGTGGATCGAATATCACACATTAAAGGTGGAAGTGGGCGTCTCACGAGGATGGCCGTATTTGGATCGGAAAGCGGATCAGTGGAGGCAATTTCCCGGCGTCGAATACATTCTCTGCATTCGTCTATCACCAGCGCTGCATGTTCGTCAGTACAAGCTCTACACGGTGAATAATCGAGCAAATCCACTTCCGCCTATGGATCCTATACCTATCGTCAATCCGACTAATGTGACTTTCAATTCGCGCCGTCTATTAGGCCTCGCTAGTCGAGGTCGCACTCCTCAAGGGTCCTCTCAGCCCAATGTGGTGATCACTTTATTGCCTCTCGTAGAGAGGCTGATTCAAGAAAACCAGTGAAGACATGGTTGTGTTGATGCATATTGTAATGAACTTACTATTCTCACCATCTACTACCTTGGTTTAGTAACCGAATGAATTAGATTAACGTTAGAATACGATCCACCTCCGAGAGAGCCAGTATATACCAATATCGTAGATGTCATTGCCGATCCGTTGAGATTTAATTCGAGCAGTTAACATCTAAAGGTATTGATCGTATCGACTCGTTGAAGCAGTTAGGATGGAGCATCCTATTGATTCCACTACAATCAAGAGTTGAACTCAGCACCACAGCCTTCAAAGCGGCAGCACCTCTTTGAGTAATCGACAATTACAATGATTGATCAAAAGTAGTTCCATTAAATTTTAGCGATCCAGTTTTTATACCAGTTCCAGATTCACCCAAATCCAATTGATAAGATGGCAGAGTTCCAATACCGACGTTTCCAGTTAACTCAATGAACATTCGAAAAGCTCCATCATGGTAGAGATACATCGTATCTGGATTGCTTACTGAACCACCTCGACTCCAATTTCCCCAGCATAAAGATTGCTTGTGAATTTTATAGTGGCTTGCGCAGCAGCAGAGCTATTCAAGATTGATACTACATTATTCGATGTTGTTGAAACAGAAATGATACTAGTGAGAGTTCCAAGCGATGTAACACTTGGTTGCCCCCCAGCAGTTAGTGTTCGGGTAATGCTTGTAGATGAAACAGAGTTGATACACGTGATGGCCTTACCGGGATTTAAAAACCAGAGCCTTTTAAGTTTGAGCAGTTATAGCAGATATACCTGAGACATATGAAAATATACTCAGGTCTAACGCAGAACCACCAATCGTCAGAGAGCCGCAATCACGATTGCCGATCACGCTTGATGCAAATGACGTCCCAACACCACCAAGCCGCAAGTATCTTTGATCGCCTGTAGTAATAGTAAGATCTCCATTAGACGTGTTAAAGTAAGAGCTGTTAATTGACAATGGCGACGACGTCAAACCAAAAGACATTCCACGTGATAGTGAACACCACCATTCTCGTCAGAAAAAAGTCGACGGTAGACGACGACTAGGTCGATCGCCTTCCGGAGACTCCCGATGCTCTCCGAGCTTGAAAGGATAAGTTCCGTCGCGATCGAAACTAAACTGAGCGTCATGCTGGGGTCACATACCGCTGCGCGGGAGTCCTTAAAGAGCTTGGAGCACGTTGTGCACCGAATGCCTCACGTTGAGGACTATCACCGTCTGTCGGAGCGGCTCCTAGCCGTTGAGCAGATGAATGCGTCGTTACATGCGAAGGTGGAGCGCTTGGCGCCGTTAAAGATGGAGATCGTTGCACTCGGTGCTCAAAACCAGTTGCTGGTCCAGCTTCCGGACCGAGGTATGAGTCATGAGATTAACTTGGTTCCAGGAACCACATACTGCGTAGCACGCCAATGGCCCCTGCCCAAAGAGCAGTGTGACGTCATTGGCGCCTTTTTCCGTGCGAAGCATGACGCCTGAATAGATCGTGGAGTAATTCTCCCCATTCGACACCCACGTATTGTGTCCGGAAGCCGAACGGCAAGTGGCGTATCGTTCACGCTTACAATAAGCTCAACGCTGCCACCATTCCGGCACAGACGCCGATTCCTGGGAAGGATGTTCTCCAGAACAACATGGCCGGATGCACAAAGTACAATGCACTCGACTTGGTTGACGGGTACGGCTCAAGAATAGTATCGATTTTTTCATAAATTATGTATATTAATACATAGGTCTAGAAAATTATAAATTGATTTTCAAAGATCTTGTAAATACCAGCTGGGCCCTCCAGAATGTTCTATTTACGGTAGGTAAGTAACTGAAAGCGTCATGTTCTTAGTATTGCTGCTGCTTAGATATAAACTCATGAACGTAACGACGACTAAAACACCATAAAAGCTGAAATTCAAACAAACTGACGAAGCATTACCCGCCTTTTGTCTTGTCAAGCAAGCACTGAATATTCGATCCCGCTGTATAATCTACAGGAAAAATTGTATGGACTGAGATAGGTCACTCGTAAGTTAACACTGACTTTGTAGGCAAAAGCGCGAATTATGCCGCAAATACAAATTATAATAAGGAAAATTGTCGAACGATAGATAATTGTATTTAATATGAATACGAACAATGATGACCCTTACACTCGGATTGGTTCTATACAAATACATTCATATTAAAATCATGTGATCAACTAACTGCCCATAATAAAATCGATTCATATTTACAAGATTCTTACGCTTTGGACAAATATCAGATGTGTATTGTATTTACTTATGAAAAAAATGTCTTTGCTTGCCAGACAAAGAAGGCCCCTGCAAAGCAATCAAATTCATATCAATGTCTTCACCCCACATCGTTTTGATGAAATGTGATTCAGTCCCTATTTTGTGGAGAATCTTGACCACACTTAAGATCAGATTTACAGTCACGTGGGTAGAGCGTTGCAGTCTTTTCAATTTGAATTGTCGTATGCGTGATACCCTTAGACATGAGATAGCGTTGAGCTGCATGCAATGCCGTCTCTGCGTCATCTGAAACGAGATGTACACTCAAAGATGGTAAACCGGCACTAAGCGACCAAATATGCAAGTCATGCACAGCTACCACAGATGAGCAACGACGTAGACCTTGCTCAATCTCATCAGCATGAATACCATCAGGTGTGCCTTCCATGAGCACATGAATACTTTCGCGCACAATTCCAATCGTTGTGACGAGTACTAACACAGAGAAGACGAACGTGGCAACAGGGTCGGCAATTTGCCACTCGGGTTTGTACCAGATAAGGCCACCAGCGACACACACACCGACACTCTGGATGAAGTCACCAAGTGCGTGGATATAAGCAGCTTGAATGTTCATGTTCACGACCTGTTTTTTGGACTCAGTAGCTGTGCTATGACCATTTTCAAGTACGCCATGTTCATCTCCACTGTGTGAATGACCATGACCATGTGAGTGACCGTGTCCTGCTTCGCCATGCGAATGGCCATGGCTCTTTGTACCGTGCGAATGCCCATGACTCGAATTTCCGTGGGAATGACCATGACTGCCACCGCCGTGACTGTGTCCATGGCCCAAAATCTGCATCAAAATCAAATTGACAACAAGACCAATGCATGCTACTATGAACATAAGCTTGCCGTTTACGTGCTCCTTTGGGTTAGGCTGTAAACACTCCATAAAGCGCTCGACAGCAGCGTAGACTAACACTCCCGTAAGCACCCAAATGACTAACACACTCGTTACTGCGCCAATCACCTCTGCGCGCTGGAACCCAAAGCTTAAGCGACCTGAGGCCGGTAACGTAGTGATCCAGATAGCAAACAGCGAGATACAAAAGCCCGCAACATCCGAAAGCAAGTGGGCAGCATCCGTCATGATGGCGAGACTACCAGCTAAAAAACCGCCGACGATCTCGGCGCACATGAAAAGCAAGGAGCAGATACAAGCAAGTTGTAGCTTTCGCTGAGCAATCTTGGCACTTTCTGTGAGTGGAAGTCGACGCGAACCACTGCGTTCTTGCGGGGGTCGTGAGCCCTTTAAAGGCGTCATTTCATCCGCACGATTAGATTCGTTCCAAGCCATTTGAGCCAGGAGGCGAAAGCCGTTATGAGACTGATTTGTGTGAGGACCACTCAAGTCTCGCTCTGACGATATTATTAGAATTACAAGTAAAACGTATGGATTTTGTGACGACGTCACGAGCCACACGTCGTTAGGTTGTAGAGCTCACACCCTCACTTTGAATGGTGGAGAGTATTAATTATTCCTATATTTTATGTCTGCGCTACTACAAGAATGTCAATATAAGTGCAATGCAATTCAGTCGTTGACTGCAGAGGATCTACACTTGCGAAGTTTTTTTAGTTTGAGCTCAACATCAACATCTGATACATTCCCCCCTGCTTTATCAAGGTATCATATGATCAAAGTGTACACGATACGCCGTCGGAGTTTTGTCCGACGGCGACGAATGTCAAGAGAATGTTAAATCATTTCAGTAGTCTGTCATTGATTTTATTCCAGAAAGGGATCACCTTGTCTGACGAGAGCAGTTATCGTCCATCGTAAATGACGTCAATTGACAGTGGGATAAGCAAAAGAAATCAATACAACAGTGATAGCTTAAACAACACTTAATGACCTCACACCACAACGGGATACGAGGCGCAATCGGCCACACCGCACATATTGCTGCCACGCGCAATCTGAAAAAAACCTTTCATGCCCCACTTGGTGCCCCAACTATTTTTGACAATCCAGTGATTTTTGCCATCCTCTACACCATAGCCCACAGCCAGAACAGCGTGGTTTACATCCTTTTCACCCGATTGACATTTGGTCGATTCATAAACACCAGACTTGTAAAAGCGAAAGTCTGACACAACCTGAAACGCGATACTCACTGGGCCAATAGAGCCAACCGCATTCTTCAACTCCTTCTCGTTTTGAGCTGTGATGTTCACTATTTGGTCCACTTGTACACCAACATGGTACGTGTTAAACTTGCATTTGCCCTCTTTTGCTTCATATGGGTACGTCTATCACGAGCAAAGTCAAAAATCATCAAGTGCACGATACCAAATAGATTATACTACGCATGGTACCTTTTCCGTGTCCAGTCCGCCGTTATACTTAATAAACTCGAATGCGTGTGATGGCAAACCGCCACTGCATCCATGATTATCGAAGTTTTGGGCACAATCTAGCAAATTTTGCTCGGATAGGATCGTGAACTCGCCATGCTTAAGCTTTAAGTGGCTTTCCAAACATCCCGTCGTGGAAAATGTCCAGCACGAGCCGCATTTGCCTTGATTCTTTACAGGAGACACTGTTCCATCCTTTCTCCAGTCTTTTTGCTCTGGGACTTCACCATACAAGACGTTACTCGACTCTGTAGCCGAACACTGTTGTGGAGCGCCCAAGTACCAGCTCTGGAATTCGTCCCACGTAATGTCCGCAAACTCATTTAGCTCCATATCAAAGCTCTTGTTTTCGTTGCTGTTGTGTTCTGCAACGGAACGCGCATTGATTTCGAAAATTCCACGACGAAGCTCGTTCTGAATCGGAGAGTCATAACTCTTGCCGTGTTGGTCTTTCCACGCTTCAAAGAGCGTAATGAGTGCTGCCGACGTTGATGGAACCGTCGTTAGGTTCCATAACTGAATCTTTTGCTCTTTGCTGCACTGAAATATAGCGGGAGGAAGCTGATCCGCCTCTGCTGGTGTGTAGCATGATGACGGCACAGCTGCGCAGATGCACCAAGCACAGTGATTTTCCACACATCTGTCCTTGGTCGTGAAGCCATGACATGATGCTTCTTGGCCGATGAGTGACAATTCATATCGGTCAGAGTGATGATGGAGGTCGGTAGCAGCAACGGAAACGAGGCCAGCAAGGAGTACGAAGGGGGGCGTCATTTTCAATCAGAAGAATCTTCAACAAGATATAGTAATTTTAATATCTAAAGTCTTTTGCAGTAATGTTACTTCTAGAGCTACAAAGTAGTAGTAGTATATAACAGATTAGGGTGAGGCATATTGGTATAAAGGTAATTATCAAATTTAAGAAACTAAGTTAATTTTGATACATTTATATCCTGACAAGACAATCGCTCGCGAGCGCGAATGGGCACCAACGTAATATACATTGGCAAAAGAGTAGTCTCTAAAGTAGAACAATTTGGACCTACAGAGGTAGTATTTATCAGGCGTTCAGGCGGCTTGAAGCGCTAGTCTACTCGTCAAGGGATGTGAGAACTGGCGGACTAAGTCCAAATCAAGTTTTATTGCTGTAGTACTGGATATCATTAATCTTTATGGAGGTTATTCACATGGTTGCAGCTCGCACACGGAGACGTTCCGCGTTCACCATATATCTTCAAGGGAGAAATGGACGTCGCATTGATAATGGAGAACAACTTCCGTGCTGCGAAGAAGAATGCGGTCTGGGAATGTGAGATTTACGAGTACGCGAGAGGCGATGGACCTCATTCCAGCTGAGAAGGAATAGCGAGATGGTTAGTTGCATAGCAGCTCCTTGGAACCCGGAGATGTTGCGTCAGTAATAGCAAAGAACATCTGCACCTTGCGTGCCCCCTTCGCTCCAGACTAAAAAGTATGAAATTTTGGCCTCCCACACTAGGGCGGGCATCAAAGCCTCGCAAAAACAGTCAAGTCCCTGTACACACAAGCCGACTTAGGCTGGTATCTTTCAACCTCATCAAGGTCATTGTTAATGGAATGCTGCCCTTAAAGAATCGACTCTTTCTGTGTGAGGTGGGACTCATATTTCAGGGAGCTGGTAGTTAAATCAACTTTCAGGGCTGTAAAATAGTGGAAAGTCCTGATAGATTTAGGAGCGTGGCATGTAAACGCACGACGCACGAGGTATTGCAGATGCCAAATATGGGTACGATCTTTGTGTGTCCTGTGACGGGGACTGGTAAAGGGACGAATTTTCTGGACCATCAAGTGGAGCTTGAGGTGGTTGATATTGCGGAATATTGTCTAGTTGGGAACCTAGATTGAAGATGCGATCTCATTCTAGGTATGACATGGCTGAAACGCCACAAATCATCGGTTCACTGAATAAAAGACTATCGACACTCAGTTTGCTTCTGTTGGAGCTTATGGTTTTTTCTATTAGAAAGCCGACAAGCTTTTTGGCGCGGGGACAAAGTTGTGATAACTTTCGAGCAAAACATGGGATTCTTCGAAATTGATAGCAATGAAATCGCTAGATGTCTCGAGCGGAGTTTGGACCGTTGATGTCGCATTGAGCCGAAATCTCAGGATGAAATAAAAACAAGCGTTTATATAACACGTACTATGATGAGACGGGATTGGAGACTGTATGTCGTGGTCGCCTATCGCTTGTGCGACGGTAAAGCGCGCAGTTGTGAGCTGTTGTCTCCCTGCCTATCGCAGATTGTGTCATAGTTGTCGGACGTTTTGATGGACGGCTCTATGTCACGATTCAAAGGGTCAAGCCCAAAATATGAGAAGATGACCTATTATTGCCACGATGTGATGATACTACTACATCTGCGCGACTGTGTGCCGCGCCAACGTACGAAGCCATAAAAACTCTACGGGTCAGTAGAAACGGTATCTACTCATGAGTGGAGTGACAGGGGTAGCCCAAACCCTCTCAGTCTTCCCTCAATGTCTTTGGGGGAGCTCTTAAAGAGTTGACATGATCACTAATTAAGGGTATGTGCGAAGAATTGGAAGGGGTGAGTTTACCGAGATTGTAGAGTTGGCACCAGAGAAGGAGCTGTGCTTGTCATCCGTCGTGGATGAATTTGTCATTGATAAATCTGACATGAAATCACGACGTGGTTGCGATAAATTTACTGCGCGTGTTACCTCTGATTGACTTGTTCCCGGTATCAAACATTGCGTCGCATGTCAGTGAGAGGAGCAGCGTGATATCATTGACGCTTTCTCTCATGCTCAGCAACTTAAGTATAATTCTTCGCTTTCAGCGTTGATTGTAAGTGCTCGGTAGGCTGACGGCAAGCGGCGACTTTTACATGCTTATCATTTACTGACTGCAACCACGATTCTGTGGCAAGCTTCTGTTCCTAGAAAAGATGTGCTGCAGACCAGCAAGATCGGCTGGCCCTGAACCAGGTATATGATTATTCTCAACATGTAATGAGAAGTAAGGATATACCGCCCAGGGCGGTAACAACTCCGAGCGATTTGGCCTAGGAGAAGCTGTGGAGAGGTAAACCCTTCTCAGTTACTTGCAGTGAAGCATATTCGCGTCAAGTTCAGGTTGCAACTGCTTGACTTGAAGTCGTTTTTTATACAAATCACGTCTTTTCCACATATCTTGCGAAGAAGGCAAGACGATTATACTGCTCTGCCGCATATAACTTCATCGTATGATGCAAGCCGGCTTTATGGGTGATGGCAGATGCGTTTCCCGTGGTCTCGATTATGATCGGTTGCATATTACGATGGATACGCCGCGAATTTACGAGTCTATACGTACATACTACGGCTTAGACACAACTCGTGTCGCGCTGCTTGAAGTGGTTGGAATGCGAAGAGTTTGCGAGCTCACATGTTGCTGTAGCAAAGCCGGCCTGTACCGCTCTGCCATACCCGAATGCTTGTAGTGGTTATTAGCTGACTCAAATGACTTACAGCGCGCTGCGTTGACTCGCAATGATAACCACAAGTACAGAGTGCTGCATGAGGCATCTTGGGTGACAGCCTGGGAAGAGATGCGGCACGATGCTCGGTAAGCACGGTCCAACCTCCATCAAAATGCATATGCTGGTATTTATAAATAGTTGTTCGAGTCACCTTCGTACAAGTGATCGGCGTATTTGCTGAAGTGAAAATAAAGTGGTTGTTTACATTAGGTAAGTACGGCTTAAAATGCCATTATGAGTATGTATTCAAATGTTAGAAGCAATATATATTGATGCAGTGAATGCGTTAGCTTTCTGAAGCTTAGTTTGGAGTTTCATACCATACGAATTTTTCCACCTGCTTGTGAACGATTTGCAGTTCTGTCACTTAATATTGCTGACAACTCAGTATGCCAATTGATAATCCATTTGTGAGCTCCGTCAGCCTTCAACATCGACGATCACAACAAATGCTGTGTTATTTTGCATGCACCCCCCCCACAAATTCGATACAGCCGTTCACATCAGGATTTAGCGCAACTTTGCGTCACTCTGGAAACTTAAACTGTACCTAAGTGGCCGGATCGCATTTATCTCAGGTACCTAATACTTGTCGCTAAATTAAGGTATGGATTTTCGAGGTTGAACAAACGTAGTTATAATTTATGCTACATCCTGTACATTATATAAGGTTAAACAATCTTAAATAATAAGCCGTGTGATGTAAGGAACCACGTGCTTTACGTATCATTTCTTTTCAAGCACCATCACACTAGTAGAGTTGGAGATATTCAATCACGAAATTCAAATATGCTTCTTCAATACGAACCTTCAAGGCCCAGTACCTTTGCGAATTTGCGATGCCCGCTCTACTCATTTTACAATATGGTTGTCGTGAATCTCATAAAGATAATGCTTTGAAATTACAAGACTGTACTTTCAGACGCGCATAGGATGCGTTTTCACGCTTCGATCAGAAGTGAAATTGAGAGATTTTTGAGCAACAATTTTTTAATGCTATTCTCATTATAAAAAAAGAATCTGTAGCATTAGTCTACCAAAATTTGAGATATATGTTATATTACATGAAATCATATATATATTCTATATACTGCAATGAATGACGCTTGCAGACTACGTTCCCCGTACCTTTCCTAACGGAGCCTAGTCAAGGGCGATAAAGACTGAGGGTGTGTTAGGTCATAACTGTTCATAGCACCAGGTCAATTGTGGTGAAGTGGGATATGAGCTCCCAAAGTAAAGTCATCATTCACTCCAATAATACTGATTACAGCCCAAATTCAAAGCCCGGTAAATCCACCGATCCACCCCGGTTCCACTTGGAGATGGGCCATTCCATATACATCAACAGCGCCGGCAAAAGACGACATACCACTGCTGACTCTCCTAGTTCCTTTCAATTATAGCGAAGTAATTTTAGCTCTCTGATAATTTCAGGGTGTGACCAAAACTTAGATGAATTCAAGTTCAAAATGCACTCTGTGAGCCATGCAGTTGTAGGCCCTCAGGCACTCCGTGCAATTCAAACCGTTTCGATACTCCATAGAAAAGGGTAGGTATGTCAGCCCTAGAGATGGTGAAGATGTTGTTCGATCTGCGATAAGGCGCTTTTGCCAATTATCCGTCAGAGCGGGAGCGTAGTGGGTATATGTCAAGCCAACACATGTTATGCAGGTGCTGCGTTTTTTTGATATTTTGAGAGTATAGCTTACCCAAGCTCGAGCTCTGGACGCAAACAAACAAATGTTGCGAGTTCACAACTCCGTAATATAAAGTAACAAAGCTGCAGGTGAGCAGCTTTTGGGAAATACAATTCTTTATTTCATTTTTATGCTTAAACTTGGTACGTACTGTCGTGTGTCATGATGCGTACTTATTCCGCTTTCAAATTTACAAATAAACTCGCTCGCCCAAGATTTTCGAGCAAGTATTTAATGTGACTCCTCTCCCCGAACCCCCCTTGCTCTGCACAATTATGGTCAAATAAGAATGTGTGTAGCTGTAATGCAGCTGCATCACCATACCATTGACCGTCGCTGATGCGCAAACGGTCTGTGCGGCAAAAAGAAGCCACTCTCAGAGCATGCTGCGCCGAGTACTCACAACAGTTAAATAAACCGCTGTCTTTGATTAGCAGATGATACATCAGCTAGTCAAAAGCACTAGTCATTGTACAACCAGAAATGACCTTCTAAAGCACATCCTCCCCAGAAATCGGCGTTGATCCGCAATGGTTGCGAAAGCTGCTAT